AAATGCTACACCTACAACCTCTTCTCACAAATTTTCTCTCATAACCTCAACGTGACAGTTTTTAATTGGTCAGTTCATAATATGTCGCAACTGGGTGACACCTGATAAATTATAACTGATTTGTGAGCTGTTACATCGAAATTGTGAGAAAAAGTTTGTAAAAAGAGGATATAGATGTAATATTACTAAATATATATGAAGCATAGTTTAGACCTCCGGCAACACTATAGATGTATTAATTTTATAATTTATTATTTTCATAAATATTAATTTCACAACTGATTTCGCCCTACTATATTAGTTACTTATATCATTCATGCGATAAATTAACAACACATTAATTTTAAAAAGTTATGGGTATTAATTGTATTCAATTTGTTTATGGTATGAACAATACTAAACATATAAAATTGAGATCCTAATTTATATGATTGTTTATTTAGATACAGTAATTATAAAAATGAAAACATAAATACAGTATTTTCCTTTCTTATAATTAATATAGTATTGATACATAAACAATCACATTAGTTGTGATTTAATCTCAATTAGAATTATTGTTATAATATTTTGTCTATTAACAATTTTTTTATTAGTGTTTGAAAAAAGAAATATCTTTTTAAACCCCATTTAATACCGAAAATAACTTTTTAAGCTTAGCTAGGTTTATTTTCCTCAATTTCAAACTTAATTAGGTTTTTTTTTTTTACACCATTTTTCTCAAATCAATCTTAATTAGTTTTTTCTTTACACCTTTTTTTCCTCCAATTTCCTAATTTCAACTTATTTTATCTTCTCCGTATACAACTTCATCCCGTTATGTTTTCCATAGTTTTAGTATTATATTTTCATCAAACAACAAATATTTAAAATAAAACAAAATATTTCAATAATTATGAAAAATTTAGGATTATGTTATGAAAATTTAGGGTTAAAGTTTATGTAAGATTAAATGTTCAAAATTAAAACAAAAAATATAAAACAGAACATGAGGGTATTTAGAAATTATAATGCTATTTTTAATAATTTAAATTAAAGTTAAATTTTTCAAAACAAAAAATAAATTTAAAAGTGGGTGTGAAAATCAACTAGATAGAGGCTAAAAATCACTTCCCTTTTCTCAAAAAGAGAAAGAAAGACAAGGTTACTTCTGGAAGTTAATTCAGTGCATAATTTTCTCCGTGGGGCTTTTGTTAACTGCACTTTGATATTGGTCTCTTTTTCTTTTAGCCTAAAATGATTCGGCCTTGATATTAATTTGGAGTTGGAGTAGTGCTATTTAAACCTCCCTTAATTTAGAGTAAAATTATATTTTAAAAAATTAAATATTAGATGTATTTTTTTGACAAAAAATACCTGGAATATATAGACAAAATATATAATATTTACCATTTTTCTTTATCTTCCTCCATCCCATCATCATTCATCTTCTTTGCATATCACCTTAAATCTTGAGAAGACAATTTGGATTGAAATATATAGACAAAATCGAAGAATTATTATAAAAAGAAATAAATACAATGTGTGATATTTGATCAACAAGAGAGTATGGAACAATGATATAAGACAATTTGGATTGAAATATGGACAAAAGCTTGCATGCATGATGCATATACCAAGCGTTTTGACGTTAATTTAACCCGACTCCTGAATTGGAGTCGGAGTTGGCATTGGAATCGGAAGTGGATTTGAAATTGGAATTCATTTGACTAGTCCATTGTTCAAATGATATTGGTTCTGATGCCGGCTCCTCCACCCAAAACTGATCCGGAATATTTAGAGATTGCCCACCTTGTTCCACTACATCAACAACAGAAACAACAATAAATTAATTCATTAATAAATCTGAGATCAATATGACTCCAACAAATGCAGTGACATAGTCAGGATTTGGGTTAGCTGAATTTTCTAGTGCCAATGGGGCATGAGCTCCCGCTCACCCTTTGGTGGCTCCATTCCCAAACAAATGCATTATGGTCAAGTTGAACAATCGAAAATGGCGAATTCAGAATAACAACAGATTAAACTCACTAGATTTGAAGCAACCAGTGCCGCCCATTGAAGGAGCACACTTGAAGAAACAATAGAGATAGCAATCGTAATGATTTGCTTGAATTTCTTCAAGACAATACTTGTTGCATCTTCTGTAACCTTCATCGCGATTAGCTTCATTGCTCACAACAAAAATTGCAAGAACGCAAAACCCTAATATTAACCTACTACCACAAGCCATCGCTAAAGCGATCTATGTTTTTTTTCCTTTTAATTTTCTTTCTAAGGTTTGGTTTCACTGTTGGTGATTTGGATGTGTATTTATACTGCATTATAACATTGTTGAAGATACGTTAGGGTTTGTTAATGAAAGATTAAACAGTTTTCAAAACAATTTGACGAGTATTCTATATTTAACTTATGATTGGTCAATATTAGAAGGAATTTTGTGTCTAAATTATTGTTTGTATAAACAAAAGTTCAGGTATTTTTTTCATCCTTATTTGCTATTAATAACGTAAAATCTAGATTTATACAATTCCTGATAACAAATATCCCCCACCAATGAATAGCTGGGCTTACGCTATTATTTACATCGATTTCTAACTTTTATTAGTTAATGGTTGAGATTTGATTAGATGCACGTTTCATTTAATAAATAAGTACATTACTATTGTATATAGGGGACTTGCACATCTAATGCACTTGGAAAATAATATAATTTTGACTTAATTTCAGCCATTCAACAAATTGTGTCATTTTTTGGGTTGTTGGCTTTGGCGTTAAGTGTAGATAGGTTTTCCTGTGGTGATTGTTGATTTCTCAAGCACAAAAACAATCAAGTATATCACCACCAATTCAATTTTGAAATTGCTTTAATGTAGGGTTAACCGAACCAGTTAATCATTTTTTTTAACCGAACCGGTTTTTCGGTTTAAGAAAATTTATGAACCGAAATTGAACCGGTTTAAGGAAAAATTGGTTTTTTGATTAATTGAAAAACCAGTTAACCGCTTTGAAAAAACCTGTTTTCCCTTTAAATTGGATTAAACTTTTTTTAATTCTTCGTGAATCAAATTATAAATATCAACAATACATATCCAAATAAAAAATTAAATATTCATACATATTCATTGCCCACAACTAACAATACATTAAAAATTCATATAAATAAATTTTATTTTTATATATAATATCCATTAAGATTATATATATATTTTTTAGTAAACAGGTAAGTAAAACCGGTTTCTGTTAACCGGTTTGTATTTTCACCCAAATCGAAAACTGAACCTAAAATCCAGTTTTTTGAATTCTTTCAACTGTAACTGAACCGGTTTTTGGGTTTGATTTTTACTTTTTTTTTTTTTTAACATTCTTACTTTAATGTTTTGATTAGGTTCTATTTACTGTAAGTACATACCTGATGATCGACATATATATTGCTTTGAAGTTTGAAATATTCGAAATATGAAATTATTCTAGACAAAATCAAAGAATTCTTGTCAAAAGTATCAAAATGATAAAAGAAAAAACTGACGAGATTTGAAGCAGCCACTGCCACCCATTTAAGGAGCACACTTGAACGAACAAAAGAGAAAGCAAGCATAAGAATTTGCTTTTAGAGGTATTTTGGTCATTGCATCAGTCAATATTGGCCAACCGTTAGTTTTAACAAAAAAACTAATGGTAGGAGTGGTTGGATAATTCCCATAACTAGGACGGTAAACGAGCCGGCTCGGCTTGGCTCGGTAAAAGCTCATTTAGAGCTCGACTCGATAAGGCTCGATTCGACTCGACTCGAACTCGATTCGTTAACCGAGTCGAGTTTGAACACAGTGAAGCTTGGCTCTTGGGCTCGCGAGCTTGGCTCGGCTCAATTAAGCACTGTACACTTCACAAGGTGTTTTGGTGATGTTTTAAACTATTAGATATTAAACTGATATTTTCCAGTGAAAAATGTTTTAAAAAATGACAGTTTCCCCCCCAAACTGCAAATTTGAAATAACACGAGTTCCCTATATCTTCTCTCACTTTCTTTTTGTTTCGTCTTTGTTCGTCTTTTAGGATTTTGGTTCTAATAATTTCTCCGCCTCTGTAAGTTCGCATCGATTCAACTCTAAGTGGATTCTATTTTCTTCGTTCACTGCTTATCAAATTTTCGATTGCTGTCTTCTTCTTTGACTACTTACTATTTTCGGCTTGTTCAATTTGTGTTTGGACTTTTTAGACTAATTTTTCTTCGTTTAGGTTTTTTCGATGATAATAAATACGAATTTAAAGTTTTCTTTTTGTCATAATTGATGTGTTGACTTTTCTCAACGTGCAGGTGATATTTGAACTTTGGTTTCTGCAAGGAAGATGGAAGATTGGTTCTTTTATTTTATGAGTTTTGTTTGATGAAATTTGTGTGGGATTTTTAAACTGGGGTGGAATTTGAGAATTTTTAATTGGATTATAGCAGTTATTTGTCTTTGTTTTGTCTTGAGTTAAGTTGGCCTTCAATTTTTTTCTCTCAACTGAGTTTTAATAAAATTGGGTATGTGCTTTCTGGTAAAACATAAGGGCTCGCGAGCTCGAACTTGAGCTCGACACTGTTGTAAACGAGCTGAGCTCGATAAGCCAAAAGCTTGGCTCGTTTACACCCCTACCCATAACTAAGGCACCAACTTGTCAATTTCGAAAACCACAGGGAGGTAGTGGGTTTAAACCCCAGTCTATTTATTTTATTTAATTATATTTTTTATTTTTCCAGTTTATTTACTAAATCATTCTACAGCTTCAAGAATTTTGAATTTTAAGAACCGGTTTCAAAAACTGCTTCTAGATAATTTTAGAAATAAATAAAATTTATTTTTTAATTGATTTTGGGCTTACAAATTAAATTTTATTTTTATTCTTTTTATCTTAAAATAAAACCCATTATAGTGACCCGGTCTCTGAATTAGGGTCGACCCGTTTCCTTTTTCCCCCGAGCCCAAAGGCTTCATTACAGAGTTCGAGTTTTTAGAGCTGAAAAATAGAAATAAAATCAAAATGGCGTCTTATAGTTGTACATAAGACACTTTTTTCAATCTTCGCAAGATGTTATCGATGTCGTTTCAACCCAACATAAATGCCGTTTTGAAACCCCCCACAGCAGCAACAACAACAACAAACTTGCTTTCTACAAACCTTCTCCTTAAACCCTTTATCAAAACCTCAATCTATCTCAAACCACGTGGGCAAAGCCCTTTCACAAGACAGTTCAAAATCGAAGTCTCTTCTTCATTGCCGGCTGTCGATCCAGTACTCAAGCGACAAACTCCTGCAGATGATTCTGACTCCAATTTCCCTTCAGAAAAAGAGGTTCGATTGTATTAGTGGGTCTGATTTTACTAGTGGATTTTTTTTCTTTTAATTTTTGTTATTACATGCTTTGTTTGTTTCCTTAGAAAGTACAGGAAAAGAAAAAGAAAAGGAAACCTGAAATGGTAGTTTAGACAGTTATGTTCCTATAGTTTTTTTTTTTTCACTGGAGAAAGAAATGTTTTTTACTTAATTTGGTTTTGTGAGCTAAGTAGCAGTTAAGCTATTTACTGAAAATTGGTGTTGCTTTGAAAAAAAAAATATTTTGATTGCTTTTATTATCTAAATAGCGGCTTTTTATAAAGGCAGTTATCAAGTGATTCTTTGAAAAGCACTTCAAATGCTCATTTGATCTCAAAAAGCACTTCAAATGCTCATTTGATCTCAAAAAGCACTTCAACCAGACACAACAAAGTTAAACTAAAGGCTAAAGCGCTATTACCGGTTGGGGCAATCACTCAATGGTCAAGGCCCAAGGGAGAGTACCTCAAGGCTTGAATGTAGAAACAGTTTGGCGTGGGTTTGATTCTGTGTTGCTGTGGAAATCTTAAACTTAAATAGGAGGTATTTTATGAGGCCAGTACAATGTCTACTGTCTAGGTTTGTCTCTCTGTCCTCAATGAGAATAAATGGTTGATTCTGCGATTAGCAACGTTAGGTAGGCAATTCCAAAGTTATGGGACAAGCTGAGTGGATCTGTACTCTTTATAAAAACTAAAAAACACTCTCAACCATTTGAAAGTGTTTTTAATGTTGTTCTTAGTGGTTTTGAAAACGCTTGTAAATGCAGAGTTTGTTAATGATTTTTTTTTTTTTCCTGTTTGGTTCACTTTGAAGTAATATTTGGATTTCTTCTTTAGCGTCTGTAAATGTAGACTTTTATTAGTACTCCAGAATGGAACATTACCGGAAAAGCATTTTACTTTGGGTGCTCATTTATGCGGTTTCTTGTTTTATAGAAGCTTGGAGTAGTTGTGAAGCCAATTGAGAAACCAAGGATTGTATTGAAGTTCATTTGGATGCAAAATGACATTGGAGTTGCACTCGACCAAATGATACCAGGTCGTGGAACAATCCCTTTGAGTCCCTATTACTTTTGGCCTAGGAAAGATGCCTGGGAAGAGCTCAAGGTCATGCTAGAGAGCAAGCCATGGATTTCTCAGATGGAGAGGATCAACCTCCTCAATCAGGCTACCGATATCATCAACTTGTGGCAAAATGGCAGTAGCAATTTGTAGTAAGGTTTACTTTAAAATTTTGAATTTTGGTTAGCTTGTGTTATAGTCTGATAAATCCTGAAGGGCAGGTTTGGTTTTCATGAGATGTTAGGATTTTTGGGTATATCTTGTGTTTCTCTTTTGTTAAATTTAATCAGAATCGGGACCTGTTCACTCAATCCATGGTGGGAATCAGATGTGTTTACATAGCTGTTGCCTTGATGACGTAACTTCAATTCTACGAACTTCAGAAAAGGATCCTTTTTGAGCCGTATAAAAAATTTATTTACAAGTTCTCGAATGTTATGTTGACAATTTTATCAAAGCAAAGTGTAGCCAGGATCAAAAGGAAACTAATACAAATGAAAACCCATTATCACCTTTGCAAAGGATTACTGAGAATTGGCTGATCTTGGAGGCTGGAAGTTTTGGGGGATAAGCATTCTGTTAATAGTCATCGATGAAATTCTGATGTCAATAGCAAAATACCAACTTGTTAGTGAAGGTTTTGGAAGGCCCTCTAGTGCAATGAGTTTATCAGAACTATTCTTTCTTATCAAGAAGCCTCATGAATCTTGGTTGTCAGATTATTTTGATCTTGAACAATACATGTATTAGCAGATTACTGTCATTTTCCTCACACTGAGCAAAGCATGACGATTGACAGCCTTAAAATATGTCTTTATTTCCAACCATGAGTCTAGGTGTACAGCTGCATACAAAAATAAACTAAATAATGAAGTAATAGAGCTAACTAATGAACTCTGGCTAAGCAAAATTGAATATTTAGTAGTAATTAAGCTAAAATGTTTTTCAGATCTTCTGAGCTCGTATAGTCCTCACTGAAAATTGTGTCCAGTCTGTGCTTGAATGTTGTTCATGTAATTGCTTTCTAATATTCAAGCTTTGTTCGTTTGTCATCCTATTTCTTCTCTGCATAGCTTTAATCGTAGGATCATCCTGAGTTTTCAGTGAATCCAGTTTTGGAGATTGGTGAGAAAGGTTGTCATCTATTTCCTCAACTGAGAGACATTGATCATCATCTTCATTGTTGTCTCTGATATGTTCGTATGCAATCATGGGCAAGCTAGGTTTCCTGTTAGAATCCAAATCATCATGTTTTTGCGATAGTAAATTGTCCTCGTTGTTTACTTCGTCATTATCATCTTCGTCTGAAGCTACTTCATTTTCCTCGTCATTTTCGGACTCTGAATCTGGATACTGTTTCCTCATAATGTATCCTCTCCCTGCATTCCTTTCATTTTCTTCCAATTCTCTGAGATGAATCTTATCACTGTTTTCGGCCATGTCTTCGCCTTCTGATTCTGAGACGGGGTTGTCCATGGGTTGGACTTTGTCGAAGTCCAGTCTATCACTTGAACCTTCATCTACCTCTGTGACTGCATATTTGTCACTTTGAAGATTAGGTGATTCAGAACCATTACCTTGTGGATGACTGGAACCACCACCATCATCATCTGAATCATAGTCTTGTGATTCAGATCTTGAGAGTTCAATGGCAGCCCTTGCAGCCACAGCCGCAAAAGCAGCTGATTCAAAAGCATCTCGAGCAGCTGTAGCTACATCTCTGTATTTCTTTGTGGTTTTCACAGATCCAGATAACTTTTCGTCGAGTTCCAAATCCTCAGACAAATTTTGTGTATCAACGCCAAGCTTAGCATCATCGAAGGTAGCTGATTCATTAGGCTCCTGTTGCTTTTGTTCCTATAATCATAGAAAACAGTCATTTAGCAATGAAACATGAACAAACTGTTTGAAATGTGCAATTATGCAAGTTTCCAAACCTTGACAGTGGCAGGAACATCTTCTTCCAAGTGCAGAGTGACACCAATCTGAGCAGAAATTTCCTTGAGCACTTTCAGTCTGCTTTCTAAGCTAGGCCGTCGTGCCGACAACTTCTGCACAATCTGTAAAAATCCGAAGAACAACCCTTACTGTAAGTTAACGTAAAGCAACAATTATTTTCACTAAATCAGTTCCAAACATCAACTCCTGAATTACCTTAGGATTTACTTCACAGTTGTTCCGCAATTCGACAGCACGAGCAGCAAATTCTTTCCCAAACCTCAACGTTAACATCTCACGAATTTTCATCAACTCAGGAAACTCCCCACACCTCGAAGATGCAAAAATCAAGCTCGATACTGCCTCCCTCAGCTCTTCAGGACATTCCCTATGTAAAATATTAACGCACATCAGTAAATATATATCTCAATATCCAAAAAATTAAGTTTATATACGGGATAACTAACTTGCTCTTTTGAAAGAGCGTGACTCTTTCGATCATCAGGTGGCAGTAATTTTCTATCATAACAAGCACATCCAGCATGTTCTCCTCTTTAATCACATACTCAGCCTGCCAGAAAAAAAAAAAAAAAAATCCATTAAAATTTAAACACACAAAGAAATACAGATATTGCGTAGAGCTGAAAAGGGTTGAGAGCAAAGTTAATTAATTACTAACACGAAGAAGAGCTCGTTCATGGTGGCCGAGGTTAAGTAGCTCGATAACATCAGACTTTGCATGCGAATAACGAGCTTGGCGCTGGTTCTTCATTATAGCATCTCTTGAAACAGCAAGTTTAACGATGGTTTTAAATTTAGAGGTTTTGAAACTCCTTCTAAGCAACGCATCCAGCGTCCTTCCCATATCTTCTTCGCTCTGTGTTTTGCTTCAGCTTGTTACTTAAAACCCCAAAACACAAAACAAAATGAACAAACAAACACCTGAAACCAAACCCAATTCGCAACGAGTCTTGCAGTTGCAGAACCGTAAAAGGAACAAATGCTTTTATACAACTGAAGCGAGCTGGATCCTGAACCGTGCCTAGGATGTTTGGTCTGCCAGTTTAGCACGTGACCAGTTACATGTCACTCAGTGATTGGAAAGTATCAACGAGGTTACATATTTTAACGTGTGAGAGTGGTTTATATTTTATAATTCTGTGTCCTGAACTTGAATGAGGCAAAAGTGTTTTGGTCAAGTTTTGGTGGCTTATTAAGAAGAAGAAACCCAGAAGAAGTTTTTGTTTGTTGGTTTAGCTTGGGTAAAGAGGGAGTCAAAGGTCAAATTGAGACAAAGTACAACACGGAACTCCACCATTTCATTATCAAATAATTTGTTTTTGTTTTTTTATTTGCACTTTTTGGTTTGATTATTTACTAATTACTATTCTATTCTAGTCTTTTAATTGGGGTATATAAATTAATTAAATAGAAACAAAGACACACCAACCTCCCATTTGATTGGATGGAGGTTTTGATGATTCCAATATGAAAAAATAAAAACACGATTGCTTGATGGCTAAAAAAGTTTGTTTCCTTTATTGATTTTCTGGATTCAAACCATCTTAAAATTATTTGTCATATAAGCTCTAAGGATTGGATATTTGTGACTTATCTTGAACATTATATTTAATAGGTCTTGAGGATTAGTTGAGATACTTACAAGTTAACCCCGAACACCTCGTCATATATATATATATATATATATATATATATATATGAAAAAATCATATCAAATTTTGCTTCTAGTTGGTAATTACACTCATAAAATCAATATAAACAAAGAATTGCAAGTAAATTCATGAAATGCTTTCACAATCTTGAAAATGACTTGAGATAAGACATTAATGTTCCAATTACAATAAACTAAAAATAAAAAAGTTAATTCATGGAATCAAGAGGACTAATTCCCACAGAAAATATTAAAAGAAACCAAGATTTCAACTGCTGCGAGCAGCAAAAAATAGAAATGGCGGCAGTTTTTTCTTTGTTGTCATTGTCATATATTTATCTTTCTAGTTTCTTTCAAAGAAAATTACAAAGATAATCCCACAAGAAATCCTAGGGCTGACCAATTTGGGCTAATGGGTAGAGGCAGGTGCTTGGGATGTTGCCACAGTACCTATGACTTGTCTGCAATGGAGATTTCAGTGGCCCTGTTAGAATTGGGAGGGCAAACGAGACAATTACAATTGAAGAGAGCCGAAGAGCCGTGTATGTTCAAAAGATATGTTTGAGAGGGAAGAAATGTATCAAATTGAATTGAATTATTTGTATGGAATTGTTATATGAATACACAGTCTATTGATACAAAAGTAAGTAACTGCGTAATGACATAAAACTGTAATCTCCCAAAGAAAGGCAACACAATATTACGGCTCTAGGTAAAGCAAGATAATCTCATATTTCCATATGTCAACAGAAGGAGACTATTGAGTTCGGTAAGTAGTCAAAACTTGCATTTTGAAAATTGTAAAAAATTTGAACGTAGAATATTTGTGTGTGTGGGCAATGACAATTTCCAAGTTACGTAAAGCTTTGATAACCAAATTTCAGTGTCTTTTAGTTATGATAATCAACAAGTCATTAGTTTAAACTTCTAGAAGATTTTCTTTTAATTTAAATGTGATTCACACTATTGAATTAAAGAAATGCTAACTTATATAACTATGTCTTGATCTTTGCTTCATTGTAGTCATACCAAACTCCGAAAATAATGATAATGGGCAGAAGTAGATTTCAACTTTCTTTTATTTATATTATAGCTAGCTCATTTTGACAAGGAGTTCTCTTCTATTTTTCAATACTATAGTAATGGGAATAAGAGGACCAAAACATATCATTGAAACACCAATAAAACGGATACAAGATATCAATTATGTATAAGAGATGGGATGAAAAATTGGTTAAATCTGATATGGAAAGGTTGATGAATGGCAGTTGGAGTCCCGTCTCTTTAAAGTTCACCCTTTTTCTACGGATATCTGCTCCAACTAGTCTTGGCAATCTCTTTAGGATTTTAATTAAGCCAGAGAAAATTAAAGTTAAAGATCCCCGTAATTCTTATGCAAGGACCACCTAGTTTAAGTTATGAATATCAGGTGTGTTTGGTTGGGGGTAATCCCATATTATTGATGTAATATCATCTTATATTACTTGATTATCACGTTTGATTATCTAAATAATATAAGATTCCGATAATCTTTCAAAACCAATATAATTACTGTTGGTTATATAGATGGTGATCTGATTACCTTAATTTTCTTGAGTATTTTAAGATTACTTGGTAATCTTAATTTTGTTACAATTTTACCCTTAACTATTAAAATTTTTAAACAATAATACCCTTATTTTGAAATTAATTTACATGAACCTGCCGTCATAATTTTACTCCTAATTAACTAAGTTTTTAGACAATAATACCCTTATATTTAAAACAAATTGCATGCCACCCAAGACCATCATCATCCGCCAACCACTACCGGCGGTCGCCGAAACGACGCACGATTAACCGAATTTGGCAGACCATGCATCGATCTAGCCATTTTCGACTAGATCCATAGTCGTTAATAGTCAAATCTGTGGTAGTCGTGTGTCGTTATGGTGACTACCGATGACTATGGTTGTTTTTGAGCCGAGCCGAGTTTTTGGCTTAACAAGCTCGGCTTGTGAAAGGGGAGGAGAATTCGAGTTCGAGTCAAGCTGCTAATTTCCTGGCTCGGCTCAACTCGTAAAGGGAGAAGAGGATTTCGAACCTAGCTCGCGAGCCGGCTTAACGAGCCGAGTTCGAGCCGGTTCAAGAATCAATAAAAAAATTCTGAATTTTTTCTAAAAAATTCAGAGCAGATTCTTCTTTCTCTCTAATTTACTACGCCTTTGCTTTCTCTCTCTCTAGTTTATTACTCCTTTGCTTTCTCTTCTTTTCTCTCTCTCTAATGGCTCCTATTTCTCTTATTTTCTCTTCCTTTCTTTCCTTCTTTCTCCTTGTTTCTGCTGCTCTCTCCATCAACTCGAAAGATATTCTCACTGCCCTTTTGCTCTAGTGTTTTATATTTTCTTCTGCTTGTTGATCTTTCTTTTGGTAACAAAACCCATGTTCCAAATTGAAAAGAAAATTCGACTTATTTTCTTTTAACTTTCCCCTAGCCCCTTTCTTTTCTTTTTAACCCATGTTCCTCTTCTCTTTTAGTTACTTATTACTCATTTGCTTTCTCTTCTTTTCTCTCTCTCTAATGGCTCCTGTTTCTCTTATTTTCTCTTCCTTTCTTTCCTTCTTTCTTCTTATTTCCCCTGCTTTCTCCACCAACTTTGACGATGACGAGAAAAGACACCAAAGGCACCTAATAACTTGGCTGAAATTCTTTATTGATTTAGGTTTTACGACAACCAGTGTTGGAGTCTGTGTTTTTAGGGCTTTTAAAATCGGGGAGATCTTTGTCAATTTTGTAAACATTTTTGCTTTGAAAATTTCAGTTTAATCTGCCATACTTAAAAAAACCCCTAAAATGCCCTTACGAGTTCAAACCTGATTCGGCTGGACTCGTTAGGCTCGAGAGCCGGGGCAGGCTCGAACTCAACTCTTTTCCTCTCACAAATCGAGCCGAGCCAGCTCAAATACAGTCGAGTCAAGTCGGCTCGCAAGGGGCTTGATTCTTTAAACATTCCTACCGACAGCCGATAGTGGCTTGAGGTGGGTAAGGGTGATTTTGTTATAAATTAAACTTTTATATGGTTATGGTGTTTTAGTAAAATCTCAAATGTAGGGGTTAAAAGATTAAAGAAATAACAATAAAAATAATATTATATTAATATTTAAAAATAAGAGCAATTTAGTAATTTATATAAAATACCCACTAATTTATACTTCCCAACCAAATATATTAAAATAACATACCCACCAATTTATTCCAACTAGGGGTGGGATAATCCGGTTAACCAAACCGGATTATCAAAACCGAAAACCGGACCGGTTTCGGTTAAAAACCGAATGTAAACCGAACCGAATATTCAGTTCGGTTACCGGTTAACCGGTTTTTAAATTAATCTTTAATCCTTAAAATTCTTCAATGCTTGATTTAAGTCCCAAATTTCTTCCTTTTCACACATTTTTCTACAAACAATATGTTGAGGTGAAATACAGCTGCTTGAAAATTCTTGAGTTTCCTCTTAATTTAAACATGAGAATTAACCTTTTGTTGTCAGTAAATCTTCTTTGTGAATAATCTCATAAGTGTCGGCATTAAACATATAATATGAAATGTTCACTAAAAGCAGTAGTGTGTACTTGATTTTAGTCCAATGTTGTAACTTGAGTTACTATTTGCTTGCCATCAACAATCATCCCAACAATTAATCAAAGAAAAATTAACGAAACAAATTCAGAGAATTGAAAAGATAAACTTCAGCTAGCATCCAGGGTGGGTCTGCTCATAGTGGAGTCTCTTCAGGGTGGCGTGACTGGAGAGTGATATGTGGACTGTGAAGAACTGAAGATTGCTAGATCGGAGCTTTCGACGCGGCTGGTGACGGTGGAGGAGCAGTTGAGGCAAATGAAGTCGCGAAGGAAGGAGGACTCGAAGGTGAATGCGAGGGTGGTGGAGATCTTTGCTATCCACAGGAACACGTGGCAGGCGGAGGAGAGGCAGCTGTTGCAACAGATCGACGCTACGAATGAGGAGATGCCGAATATGAGATCGAAGATTGAGGAAATGGAGAGGGAGAAGGCGGAATCGAAGAGGAGAGTAGAGGAATTTGAGGAGATGATTGGGTTTATGTCTAGAAGAGGAGGGTGCGAGTTTGAAGAAGAAGAAGATCAATTTGGTGGGTGTAGACTGCCGAACTGGAACTTTGGAAGTGACGAAGTGTGGAGAATGGAGATTTTAGTCTTTAGATTTGGAGGTGGAGAAAGACGAACTGTGAAGAGAAAATAGAGAGGAGTGTTAAAATTTTTTTTACTTTTATATTTAGGGTAAAATCGGTTTAAAAACAGGTTTAAAATATTTTTCAAACCGAACCGATTTTCCTTTTTTTGCATTTTATAAACCGAAAACCGAACTGGTTTGAAAAAAAACCTAATTTTCGGTTTGGTTCGGTTTTCGGATTATTTATCCCACCCCTAATTCCAACCAACTAAACACATTTCCTTAAACATTCTCAATAATCTTCAATGTAATTTATCTTCTCATTAATATAACATTCCCAGCAATGTTTTAAAACCCAACCCGAGATGAAACCGGACAAAGTTGTTGAGTCCCAAGTTGACCGGTTTGACAAAAAAAATTAAAATTTAGCAAACACACTCCTAAAAATTTTGTGAAGTCCTTATAGGTTTGAAATTTAGCAAACACACTCCAAATACAAATTAGTCGACGACCAATTAGCGGCGACGACACCCCAAATGGAACCACAATTGTCCCTAGAGCCCATTCCCCTGAAAATCTATCCAAGATCTAACCGATATCGGTTCGATTTTGATTAAATCTCACCGACGTCGACATCGACAATCCTCCCCATCACCCCGAAAATACTCCCTTCTTCCTCCCGACCAAAACCCACCTCACCCCACCTCCGTTAGCCTCTCCAATTGCCGAAAAAGTCGGTTGTTGCCATTGCCAGTGTTTTTTCGATTTTCGACCGATTTACTCTTCGAAAATCAAATTTGTCGCCACCATTGCAGTCACCGACACTTGCTCTTCAAAAGCCCCAACATTCCAACCTTCGATTGTTCGTCAATCATCATCCCAAATTCTAGGGTTTTGAGTGAATAAGAATAATGTAAATCCGACTCAATGTCGATGAAGCTTTCAAGTCCCGATTAAACCAATTAGGCCAAAACGGGTTTTAAAACAATGATTCCCAATAATACAATATTCTCTAAACCAAAAGCACCCTAATTTGATAGTCTCATAGATTGCCTTTGAACGTAAAGAAATCAAATCCACTAAAATATGTAGCCCCTACCCATCAATCCTAAGTTAATATTTTGAAGATTAATCAAAGATAATTGACCTATGCTCAGATGTTGACGCTTAGGCTGCTGCGCCTGTGCAAATCCACAACTTTTCAGACTTATACATTATACCTTTCTTTCATTGTATCAGAGAATTACTTGTCCCATTTCAGGTCAAGGTTTAGAATTTAGATTATGGGTATCACCAATGACTGAATCATTATGACTTGCTGAGGAAGGGGCTCGGCCTGCTTTACCTGCTGTTTGTTTATTTGCATGGATGCAATCATCAAAGCTAAAATCATTTTAATCATACATTCATAATTACTTGACACAGAAATTTGCTTCATCACCAATATCAAAATTTCAGTCTCTAAATTACATTCAACAGCACCTATGAATCAGAATTTGCATTGGCCTATCCCTCACACACCCCCCACTTGATGTTGTTTCTTTAGCAGAAGAATAAAAAGAAAGGGATGTGTTTATACAATAAAGTTCATAAAAACCGAGAAAACACTAGTTACAAACTATAAACTAAATAACGGAGGGGTAATTCCAACACAGAATTATGTATAAATATATATTTAACAGTTAACAGAGAAGGAACTGAGACAATGCTATGGCGTCCACGGACAAATTACGGACATCAACATCTTGACAAGTTTGCTCCAAAGATTCCACAGTATATATAATTGGTATAAGACACTGTTAACCACAAAAGTATATTCACCAAACATGAAAGAGAAAAGTCAGATGCATAAATGGAAACTAAAGTAAAGCAAGGAGGAAATACGAGAAGGCCACTTCTGTCAATCCTCGAACTCATGCATATGATCTAAAAGATAGTTGGCCGCCAACTCCTCATCCTTGTTACATGCAAAGAACACCTCCAACACTAGGGCACGATCGAAGCCCATTGCTTCAAGCTGCAAAATAATCAACAAAGACTAACTTAATCATATTTCACAGTGTGCCATGAAATAACTAACCAAATACTACTAAAACCAAAAAAAGATCAGAACAGCTGGCATACTTTATCCAAAAAAATTTAAGTTAATTCAAGCACTAACAATGATAATAGAGAACAAAGTGTAAGGGATTATGCTCAAGGCAAATGAAGGGCCAACTTTTTCTTCCAAACATACAGATTGCATTGAACTTTGTCGTAAATGCTTATGGACAAGAACTAATTGCTCAGATACAAATTTTAAATGGAAGTTTTAATAACTTTGGGTACAAAGCATCTCTTGATTATATATTCTATACATCAGAAATTGGATTGTCATACATATCCTAAACATTTTATAAAAAATTATTTCATAGGTTAGCAGCCACATAAAGAATAAAAAAAAACTCCCTAGGGGTGGGATAATCCGTTAACCAAACCGGATTATCAAAACCGAAACCGGACCGTTTCGGTTAAAAACCGAATGTAAACCAACCGAATATTCAGTTCGGTTACCGGTTAACCGGTTTTTTAATTAATCTTTAATCCTAAATCTTCAATGCTTGATTTAAGTCCCAATTTTCTTCCTTTTCACACATTTCTACAAACAATATGTTGAGGTGAAATACAGCTGCTTGAAAATTCTTGAGTTTCCTCTTAATTTAAACATGAGAATTAACCTTTTGTTGTCAGAATCTTCTTTGTGAATAATCTCATAAGTGTCGGCATTAAACTATATATGAAAGTTCACTAAAAGCAGTAGTGTGTACTTGATTTTAGTCCAATGTTGTAACTTGAGTTACTATTTGCTTGCCATCAACATCATCCCAACAATTAATCAAAGAAAAATTAACGAAACAAATTCGAGAATTGAAAAGATAAACTTCAGCTAGCATCCAGGTGGGTCTGCTCATATTGGAGTTCCTTCAGGTGGGTGACTGGAGAGTGATATGTGGACTGTGAAGAACTGAAGATTGCTAGATCGAGCTTTCGACGCGGCTGGTGACGGTGGAGGAGCAGTTGAGCAAATGAAGTCGCGAAGGAAGGAGGACTCGAAGGTGAATGCGAGGGTGGTGGAGATCTTTGCTATCCACAGAACACGTGGCAGGCGGAGGAGAGGCAGCGGTTGCAACAATCGACGCTACGAATGAGAGATGCCGATATGAGATCGAAGATTGGGAAATGGAGAGGGAGAAGGCGGAATCGAAGAGGAGATAGAGGAATTTGAGGAGATGATTGGGTTTATGTCTAGAAGAGGAGGTGCGAGTTTGAAGAAGAGAAACGAGAATTTTAATTAAGCCAGAGAAAATTAAAGTTAAAGATCCCCGTAATTCTTATGCAAGGACCACCTGGTTTAAGTTTTGAATATCGGGTGTGTTTGGTGGGGGTAATCCCACATTACTGATATAATTTCATATTCTATTACTTGATTAACACATTTGGTTATCTAAGTAATATAAGATTCCGGTAATCTTCCAAAACCAATATAATTACTGTTGGTTATATAGGTGGTAATCTGATTAACTTCATTTTCTGGAGTATTTTAAGATTACTTGGTAATCTTAATTTTGTTACAATTTTACCCTTAACTATTAAAATTTTTAGACAATAATACCCTTATTTTGAAATTAATTTACATGAATCTACCATCACAATTTTACTCCTAATTAACTAAGTTTTTAGACAATAATGCCCTTATATTTAAAACAAATTGCAAGCCACCAAGACCATCATCGCCCGCGCCCGCCAACTGTTATCGACGGTCGCTGAAACGACGCACGACTAGCTGGATTTGGCAGACCATGCATCGATCTAGCCATTTTCGACTAGATCCATAGCCGTTAATAGCCAAATCTGTGATAGTCGTGTGCCGTTATGGTGACTACAGATGACTATGGTTGTTTTCGAGCCGAGCCGAGTTTTTGACTTAACGAGCTCGGCTCGTGAAAAGGGAGGAGAATTCGAGTTCGAGCTGAGCCACTGATTTCCTGGCTCGGCTCGACTCGTAAAGGGAGAAGAGGATTTCGAACCTGGCTCGCGAGTCGGCTTAACAAGCCGAGTTCGAGCCGGTTCACGAATCAGTAAAAAAAACATGCAATTTTTTTCTAAAAAATTCAAAGCAGATTCTTCTCTCTCTAATTTATTACTCCTTTGCTTTCTCTCTCTCTAGTTTATTACTCCTTTGCTTTCTCTTATTTTCTCTCTCTCTAATGACTCATGTTTCTCTTACTTTCTTTTCCTTTCTTTCCTTCTTTCTCCTTGTTTCCGCTGCTCTCTCCACCAACTCGAAAGGTATTCTCACTGCCCTTTTGCTCTAGTGTTTTGTATTTTCTTCTGCTTGTTGATCTTTCTTTTGGTAACAAAACCCATCTTCCAAATTGAAAAGAAAATTTGACTTATTTTCTTTTAACTTTCCCCTAACCCTTTTCTTTTCTTTTTAACCCATGTTCCTCTTCTCTTTTTGTTACTTATTACTCCTTTGCTTTCTCTTCTTTTCTCTCTCTCTAATGGCTCTTGTTTCTCTTATTTTCTCTTCCTTTCTTTCCTTCTTTCTCCTTATTTCCCCTGCTTTCTCCACCAACTTTGACGATGATGAGAAAAGACACCAAAGCCAGCTAAGAACTTGGCTGAAATTCTTTACTGAATTAGGTTTTACGGCAACCAATGTTGGAGTCGTGTTTTTAGGGCTTTTAAAATTGGGGGGATCTTTGTCATTTTTGTAAACATTTTTGCTTTGAAAATTTCAGTTTAATCCACCATACTTAAAAAAACCCCTAAAACGCCCTTACGAGTTCGAGCCTGATTCGGCTCGACTCGTTAGGCTCGAGAGCCGAGGCAAGCTCAAACTCGGCTCGTTTCCTCTCACGAATCGAGCCGAGCCAACTCAAATACAGTTGAGTCAAGTCGGTCGGCAAGGGGCTTGATTCGTTAAACATTCCTACCGACAGCCGATAGTGGATTGAGGTGGGTGGGGGTGATTTTGTTACAAATTAAACTTTTATATGGTTAGGGTGTTTTAGTAAAATCTCAAATGTAAGGGTTAAAAGATTAAAGAAATAACAATAACAATAAAAATAATATTATATTAATATTTAAAAATAAGAGCAATTTAGTAATCTATGTAACATACCCACTAATTTATACCTCTCAATCAAATATATCAATATAACATACCCACCAATTTATTCCAACCAACCAAACACATTTCCTAAAACATTCTCAGTAATCCTTAAGGTAATTTATCTTCCCATTAATATAACATTCCCAACAATGTTTTAAAACCCAACCCGAGATGAAACCAGACAAAGTTGTTGGGTCCCAGGTTGACTGGTTTAACCGATTTGACAAAAAAATTTAAAATTTAGCAAACACACTCCTAAAAATTTTGTTAAGTCCTTATAGGTCTAAAATTTAGCAAACACACCCCAAATACAAATTAGCTGATGACCAATTAGCGACGACGACACCCCAAATGGAACCACAATTGTCCCTAGAGCCCATTCCCCTGAAAATCTATCCAAGATCTAACTGATATCGGTTCGATTTTGATCAAATCTCACTGAAGTCGGCGTCGACAATCCTCCCCATCACCCCGTAAATACTCTTCTCTTCCTCCCGACCAAAACCCACCTCACCCCACCTTCGTTAGCCTCTCCAATCGTCGAAAAAGTTGGTTGTTGCCGCTACCAGTTTTTTTCGATTTTCGACCGATTTACTCATCGGAAATCAAATTTGTCACCACCATTACACTCACCGACACTTGCTCTTCAAATGCCCTAACATTCCAGCCTTCGATTGTTCGCCGATCATCATCCCAAATTCTAGGGTTTTGGGTGAACAGAAATAATGTAAACCCGACCCGATGAAACTCTCAAGTCCCGGTTAAATCAGTCAGGCCGAAACGGGTTTTAAAACAGTTATTCCCAATAATACAATATTCCCTAAACCAAAAGCATCCTAATTTGATAGCCTCATAGATTGCCTTGAACGTAAAGAAATCAAATCCACTAAAATATGTAGCCCTACCCATCAATCCGAAGTTAATATTTTAAATATTAATCAAAGATAATTGACCTATGCTCAGATGTTGACGCTTAGGCTGCTGCGCCCGTGCAAATCCACAACTTTTCAGACTTATACGTTATACCTTTCTTTCATTGTATCAGAGAATTAATTGTCCCATTTCAGGTCAAGGTTTAGAATTTAGATTATGGGTACCACCAATGACTGAATCATTATGATTTGCAGAGGAAGGGGCTCGGCCTGCTTTACCTGCTGTTTGTTTAATTGCATGGATGCAATCATCAAAGCTAAAATCATTTTAATGATACGTTCATAATTACTTGACACAGAAATTTGCTTCATCACCAATATCAAAATTTCAGTCTCTAAATTACATTCAACAGCAACTATGAATCAGAATTTGCATTGGCCTATCCCTCACACACCCCCCACTTGATGTTGTTTCTTTGGCAGAATAATAAAAAGAAAGGGATGTGTTTATACAATAAAGTTCATAAAAACCGAGAAAACACTAGTTACAAACTATAAACTAAATAAAGGAGGGGTAATTCCAACACAGAATTATGTATAAATATATATTTAACAGTTAACAGAGAAGGAACTGAGAAAATGCTATGGCGTCCACGGACAAATTACGGACATCAACATCTTGACAAGTTTGCTCCAAAGATTCCACAGTATATATAATTGGTATAAGACACTGTTAACCACAAAAGTATATTCACCAAACATGAAAGAGAAAAGTCAGATCCATAAATGGAAACTAAAGTAAAGCAAGGAGGAAATACGAGATGGCCACTTCTGTCAATCCTCGAACTCATGCATATGATCTAAAAGATAGTTGGCCGCCAACTCCTCATCCTTGTTACATGCAAAGAACACCTCCAACACTAGGGCACGATCGAAGCCCATTGCTTCAAGCTGCAAAATAATCAACAAAGACTAACTTAATCATATTTCACAGTGTGCCATGAAATAACTAACCAAATACTACTAAAACCA